TCAGGCAACCAAACAGACAATTGTATACATGGACATCACCAGATGGCCAATACAGAAATCAAATAGATTACATAATTGGAAGCAGAAGATGAAGAAGTTATACTATCTCTGCTAAAACAAGACCAGGGGTCGATTAGATAATGAATTGTTAATATCAAGAATTAGAAGAAAGCTGAAGAAAAACACCAAAACAGTCATAAGGCCAAAATACAATCTAAGCAACATTCCCGAAGAGTTTAAAGATTGTGTAAAGAATGGATTTGCATTAGTAAGTTCAGGTGAATGTGATTCAGAAGAACTATAGGTTGAAGCCAGAGATAGTATTCAAGGAAGAATGCACAAAGACTATTACTGTAGCCAAAAGAAAAGAAAAGCCTTGATGGATGACTGATGAAACTCTTAGAATTGCTAAAGATAGCTGAGAAACAAAAGTAAAAGGTGACAAAAACAGAATAAAAAACCTAAATGCAGCATTCCAGTGACTCACATGTAGAGACAAAGACAACTATTATAATAACCAGTGTAAAGAAATAGAAGAGAACAACAAAAAAAGGAAGAACAAGAGATCTTTTCCATAAGATCCAAGAAAAGAAAGGGAAATTTAAAGCACAGTTAGGCCTGCTGAAAGATCAACACGGAAATATATTAACTGAACAAGACAAAATAAAAAAAGATGGGGACAATACACTGAAGAACTATACAAAAGTGACAAAAGGATGGCAGATTCATTCCAAGAAGAATCTTTTGAAGAAGAACCTGCAGTTTTAGAAAGTGAAGTGAGGGCTACATTGAGAGCAAGTGGGAGAAACAAATCACCTGGAGTAGATATCAACAGAGCTATCTCAGCTTCCGGTTTATGGCGACATGCAGGCAGACACATCTCCCAGACGTCCCAGGGATGTAAACTGCACACCAGCGTGTGGGAGGGGGTCCAACGGGCCGCAACCCCCCCCCCAAGAGCCTTGGTAAAAGGCTCCCAGCCAGGGGGCTTTTGAGGGGCGACTTCTTCGATGGCCGAATGCCGGAGAATTGAGGCGCCCCTCTGCCCTGAAGGTCCTGCCGCTGAGTGACCGCATGGTACGAGTGCTGCTGATCGGGACAAGCATTGGAGATTGGGCGGGCGAAATAAATTATGACGAGCGAGGCTGAATGGCCAAAAACAAACTGTGAGTCGGGTTAAAGCGATCATTAAGATATAAAAAGAAGCTGCCCCCCCCCCAAAGAGCGATGGGAAAGCAAGCGGGGGAGGGGCCCCTCCCAAATGCATAAACACGGACGGAAAGAGGGGGGAGCGGGAAAATAAGCAACTAAAACTGTTTTAAGAGACTTACCAGAGTGCAGAAAAGTGTTTGGGCGAATATCAGAGACTTTAGCAACTTTTCTGAAAAGTAAACAAATCCAAAAAGATGGTGGGGAAGAAACCGGAGAAAGAGAAGCTGTTGAAACCGAAACTAGGGGGCAGTCCTCGAATGGATGAGGTCACTGAGCTCTCAAAGCTCTTGGCTGACTCCCTGCACCCCCTGCTGGACGAGATCACTGGCATTAAACAACAACTGTCAATAATTGGTCAGAGTGTGGCAGTGCAGCAGATGCAACTGACTCAATCCTTAAAAGCAACAGAGCAAATGGGAGAGAAGGTGAAGGAAATGAACGTCACTACTAAAAGAGTTAAGAAAAAGGTGCAAAAGCTGGAAATGAAGCAAGCTACGGAAGAGTCAAAGCTTACATCACTCTCCTCACCTTATTTTATTCTCACAACAATTCTGTGAGGTAAGTTAGGCTGAGAGTGTGTGACATGTCTAGGTTCGCCAAGTGAGCTTCCATGGCAGAGTGGATTCTAACCTGGGTCTCCCAGATCCTAGTCTCAAACTCTAACCACTATACCACACTGGCTTTCATAAAGTGGCAGCAAGTCACTGGGCCTGGGTGAGCCACTGGGCCTGTGGTTGCTGCTGGGCCTGGCCCCAATGAAGTTAAAACAGTCCTGGAAAGGTTCTTGCCCCTCCTCTGACAGAAACCAAGCTGCTCCTATCACCTGAGGGGATTAACCCCTCCCAAAGTATTTTTTAGATTTCAGATTTTTCTGTACTCTTGGGACTTTCTGCAGGTTTGTAGAAAGTCTTGTCTTGTCTGTCCATAGCTCTGTATTTAAGTAACCACAGATGGAGCCAGATTGATAATGATATGATATTGATAATCAATATGATATTCCCTAACAAAATGTATTTTTAAAAAAATGTACAAGGCAGAAACTTCAGTGCTATATGCTATTAATTACTAGGCATTCTTAAGTTAGATAATATATGCAAAGTTTTAGAGTGGTCTGTTACAAACAAACCCACATTAGTGACCAAGTGCTTCAAACATTTATAAAATTTTCTCATGACACTGAGTGCTCCATTGTATCAATTCTCTTTGCCTGGAGGAGCTCTACTGAAAGAAAAACCTCTTTGATGCAATCATCTATTTATTGGAACTCCAGCTTACAAGGTAGTCCCTTAATGGCGCAAGCACTGCCAAGTTTCAAGATCCCTCTTCATTACTACCTAATTTAGCTGTTTTCCATAAATGATTCATGAAAAAGACAAACATTAACATTTGGTTCTTTCTACTGTCACTTAGACCCCACAAGACTGACAAGAGGACGCTCATGTGAATGGTTAAGGAATCAAAAGTAGTTCCTTGGAAACTTGTATACATATTGAAGACAACTGGAACCTGAACAGGTACTGCAGACAAAATTCTATTCACTTGCATTCTCAAAACAAGCATGGAGAAATAGTAGCTCAAGTGGGAATCTGCAAGGACTTCCAGGAGGCATCTCACTTCCCCTTCTTCCACTTCCTGTTTCCCTCTCCTGAAAGCCCCATAGCCTCTCCCCTTTTTGTGCTTCCTTATCGCCTTCTAAGGTTGTCAACCTCCAAGGTAGGGCCTGGAGATGTCCTGGAATCACAACTGATCTCCCAACTACAGAGATCAGTTCCCAATTAGGGTTGCCAGCTGCAAATTGGGAAATTCCTGGAGATTTGGGAGTGGAATCTTGGGACAGTGAGGTTTAGGGAGGGAAGAGATCTTAGTAGGGTATAATGCCAGAGAGTCCACACTCCAAAGCAGCCATTTTCTCCAGGGGAACTGATCTCCATTATCTGGAGAACAGTTGTAATTCTAGGTGATCTCCAGCCCCCACCTGGAAGTTGGCAACCCTAGTCCCCAGAGAGGAAATGGAGGGTGGAGTCTATGGCATATCACCCTAAGGTCCCGTCCCTCCTCAACCCCCCCCAGGTTCTACCCCCCCCCCAATCTCTAGGAATTTCCTAACCTGGAGCTGGCAACCTATTTCCTTCCTCTACCCTTCTGTCTGAAGCTCCCCCCACTGACAGCCTCTACCTGGGAAAATTGTGGCCCAGTTGTGTGGTGCCAGCCACTGGGTCAGGCCCACTTGCAGAGTAGGAACCCTTAAGGACTTGTGGAGTGGTACCTCACTTTCCCCTGTAAACCCCCCCCCCAATTATTTCCTCTTTCCCTCTTGCAGGCATCTCCTATATCATCTGCCCTTTCCCTGAAAGATACCTCTCAGCCATTCACCAACCTAACTTTTATCTGCCATCTCTAGCTGTATTTATTAACTTCATTCCCACCTTTCTCCACAGTGGGGACCAAAGCAGCTTACATTATTCTCCTCTCTTCTTTTTTATCCATACAAAAACCCAGTGAGACTGACTGGTGCAAAATTATCCACTGAGCTTCCAAAGCAATATAGGAATATGAACCCAGGTCTCCCAAACCCTACTCTGAAGCTCTAACTGCTACACCACACTGGCTTTCATAGGGTGGCTGCTACTGACCACTAGCAAGGAGCCAGGCCTAGTTGAATCATGCAAGTCAGGTGGTATCAAGTCACCAGAGATTGCTTCCAGGCCTACGGTTTCCAATCGCCAGGTAGGACCTGGAGACCTCCTAAAATATAGCTGAACTCTAGATGCAGAGATCTGTCCCCCTGGAGAAAATGACAGCTTTGGAGGGTCGACTCTATGGCATAATATCCTGCTGAGGCCTCACCCCTTCCCAAACCCTGCCCTCCTCAGACTCCACCACAAAAGCTCCAGGAATTTCCCAACTTGGACCTGGCAACCCTAAGCCAGGCCTGGCCCCAAGTAGTTCTCCTCAAAGGCCAGAATAGGACTGGAAAGGGCCCTCCCTTTTACTCTCTGAAACCCAGCATGGAATACAGTTGTTGCCTAGCAACAGCCACTGCATGAATCTGTTTAAAGCTCTAGGTGTTCCTTTTATCATTTTTGGCTTTTAAAGCCCCCCTCCCTTAAGATTTCACATTTTCCTGCCAACTTGGGGCCCTCTTCAGGTTGTAGAAATATCTGTCTTGATGGTTCACAGCTCGTCACTGGATTTAAACATCCAAAAATTGGCCAACTTTGCTATTAGAATTTAAGATGTTCAATACTACAGCATCGGTCACAGCACCTAGGATGCATGCTGATACTACCGACATGGCTGAAGGGTCAGAATATTTATCATCATTTTAATATGAAGAACAGCAGGATGCCCGAGCATGCCAACAAAGGACTATGAGCTGGATCCAGTCCGCTTTTTCACATAATCTCACCCAATTCCCTGTTGTTATAGGCCCCATCCAAATAGCTTTTGTCCATGAAGGTCCCATGATCTCTAGCACAACTTTCAGTGGTCAAAAGAGACCTCTTGCTCCCTTTTTCACAAGCCAAAATGCTGACTGGAATTACCCCTATAAAGTTCTCCGAAATCCTTGGAAAAGCTAGTTATTCAAATTGTGGAATTTTTAAATTAAAAACAAAATGAGCTTTTGTTCATTAGCATTCATCTGGGGGAAGCAATAAGAAAGTAACATATAACTGCATGCATCCCTTCAAATTCTTGGATGTTTGGATTGTTCCAACCCAGCCACACTACAGTAGCATAGAATGCTGCTCAAGCATTCTACTGGATTTTCATTTCAGAGTACTTACTTTAGCAATCTGCAGCAACACGATGCAATGTTTTATTGACTCAACCATGCTCTGTGAAGGATAAAAACAAACATGTTATTATCCCTACATGAACATTTCACTGTTTGTAAAAATAAAACATCGACTAATACAGAAGTTACTTAGATTGGCTGTTACATTCACTAGATTCCTATCTGCCCTGGTAGTCTCATTTATAATCATGCAACCAAACCTCTGTTTAGATGAGTGAATTATGCAGTGCAGATTTTAAAAAAATCATTGTATTTTGCCATTCATTTTAATGGGACAGTGAATTTTCAATTTTGGAAATTTTGCAGAAAACTGAAATATATGCAGTACTTCTTTCCTACCAAACTTAATTTTATTTTACTGCTTTAACAGAGTAAGTGTATAATTTAGAACTTGAAAAATAAAGCTGTATTTTTGGCATATTTATGAAATTCAAAAGTATACATTACTTGCTTTCTATAAGTAAAACAAGTATACACAGTACTTTAGAAACGGTTCCAAAGTACTGCATCTTTGCTATTTTAGCAGATGTATCTTAACTTTTTGCTACATGGGAGGCAGGAAAAATAAAAGTGGAAGGTAGAAAACAAGTGTGTTATTGAGACAGCAACTCTCCTGTGTTCACAGTATGGAGGGCTACCAGCATATTTCAATATCAAGTTTATAACATTGAAACCCACTAATTCAATTATAAATAATTAAAGACATTACATTACTAAATAAGAATAATTTTGGCAACATATTGTTGAAAATGTTGCATACGTCTGCAGAACTAAGGAAGTGTTTAACGCTGTAGTCCATCTTACATTAAAAAACTGAAAGAAGTCCTCATGACAAGGTTTTACTCACTTATACAGCAGAAAAAGCCCTCAGACCTTTTCATGTTATGTACTTTGAATGAGTAAAACCTTGTCATAAAAAGCATTTCACTCATTCAAAGGAAAAAATGTTCCATAAGTTTTTTTCCTAATGCTCCCTCAAATTTTCCAATTTTTCCACTGAAAAGATCCAAAGGAAGCAAAAGAAATTGGGAGATATGTATTTGAGATCTTCCATTTTTCCCCAGGTGTTCAAATCTCTAGTTCTTTCTACCACAGAACCTAATCCTAAACTCTTCAAAGTTTCTCAAGATTTTATTAAAGTTATGACAAGTGTTGTAGCATATGAACAAATCTGGGGTGATGTTAGTTGTCATTCTCACAACAACAGGCTAATTTCTCACCCTAATCTAACTTCTCCCCAATATCTCATAATTTCTTTACAAAACTTCATTTAATTTATATATCAACATGAACAAAAGAGAACCACCTTCTCAGAGATATCCTCACAGTCTGCCATTTGGCTCACCTTCCCCAGAAATGTAGATACTTTAGTCTGCACCAATGAGAGGATGACCCCTAGTGCTACTGATGGTCCCAGTCTATTCTTCACCACCACCTTCCTCCATGCAGAAAGTGTAATGGAGAAGTATGGCATCCACATTTGCTAACAAGCCACGATGGGATGTTTGTATGAGCACCCTTTCATCATACCATTCAAAGTGGACTGCCATTAAAATAAAAGTCAGCCAACACAGAACATGACTGAAATCTTCAGTAGTTAAACACACACTTACATTGGTTGTTTCTTTGAGGTTTTCAATTTTCTGGGGATGGAAAAACCACACAGCAATTATTGACAATATAAGAATTAGACTTGGTAATGTTCAAATAGATTGTTCCAAGCTGTTGATCTAATACAGCATGCAACAAATAATTATTCAAGCAAGAATATGAAACTTCATTATGTTGAGTCAGATGAACTCTTAGGTCAGCTAGCTTAGTGTTGCTTACTTCACTTAGCGGAAATGCTTTCAGATCTCAGACATGGGTCTTTTCCAGCCCAGTTACAAGAGTTCATATTAAGATGTCAAAAAAACCATGTACCAAAATGGATGACTGAGTTGGTCTAACTATATACTGATCCTGATCATTTGGAAGCTGTTAATACTGAACACCAAGCAAAAAGTTATTGTCCAACAGTATTAGAGACAGACGTTCTGCAAAGCACATGTTTTGCTAGCTGTGTGGGCGGGGTTTTTTAAGGGGGGGGGACATTGCACTGTTAAAAACTATGCCTCAGCCAGCATTCAAAGCTGAGTACTTTTTCTTTCTTACAGGGCTCTTACAGCTGATACAATGATGGCTGCCAACACTGTGCTACTTTGTTGCTTGCTTCTGGGACGATCCAAGGCATCCACCCACTTGTGCTGTAAGTGGGGGGCCTGAATCAAGTTCTTTCTGCCAGATCTCACTTTGAGAGGTCCAGTGGAGATCGGGATCCCCTGAAAATATCTCTAAAACAAATGAAGAGTGGGTGGTGTCCGGGAGCAGTTCCTGGTCCCAACCGTGCTACTGCTTGCCCCGCCTCCCCTGAGCCTCATCCAGAACACGGATGAAGATATCCACCGTAAGTACGCTTAAAAGCAACATCGAAAAAACCGACAACCTTTTGATCAACCCCCTTTAAAATTTTAAAAGAGCAAGGAAAGGAAGGGTGAAACCCCCCCCCCTTTCCTTCAATGGAGCAGTCCGGATGATTTAAGAAAGGAAGCAGATTTAAATATCTCCAGGGGGTAAAGAGGAGCTAATTGTTTGACCTTCTATAGAAGGATTACAAAGTGTTTTTCAAGAATAAAAAGAAAGAAAGAAAGATATTTAGAGCTGACAACTTTTGATGACGTCATGTTACAGTGTTGAGAACAGAGGATTCTTGGTTGTTATTACTTTACTGAGAGCGACCACTTGCTGATTGTGCCCAGCGCTGAAGAGACTAGATGTAGTCAGACTGAACTGAGATTCTGCTATTATATTAAAATGGGTAAACAAGATACACGGAAAAAATGCCAGTGGCTGCCTGCACAGAGTTCCAAAGAAACCAGCTTGCTGCAGCTGTCATGGGACGAGCTCCAGGCTTTAGTGGTTGAGGTGATCACTCTGGGCGTTCAAAAGGCTTTAAAGACAACATTGGATAAAAAAGAAATTATACCAAGTCAAGCTACGAGTAATATAAAGGCATCTCAGCAAAAATTAGTCCAAGAGGAAGAACAACACTTCTATCAGGATGACTTAATCCACAGTGAAATGGAATTTAAATACCAAACTGGCCAAGACCTAAAACAACACTACATTCAAGCTGATTTAACCTACAAGGAGTATAGCAAATCTACTAAAAGTCTGCTAAAATCTGGAATAATTACGAAAGGGAAAACATCCCAGAGAGAAGATGAAACAGAACTTATGGAATCCTTAACTACACTAAACATTTACTATAGTTGGCGATGCTTAAAAGAAATCTTTTCTACCTTTAAGAAGAGGCAAAGAATTGAAGATCACAAAAAGGCAACGAAATTAGTGGAAAATTGCCAAAGAACTTTTTTGAAATAGTCAAGCAGGAAAAACTAGAGGATGTATGGAGGAAATGGAACCCGACGCAGAAGGACTTTACTTTCTATTCCAATAGACATTGCTCTTTTTCCAGAATTGATATGATTTGGATGTCAGAAGAATTGTCAATGAAAACACATAAAATTGAAATTTTGCCAAGATGTAATTCCGACCACAACCCTGTTTTGTGGACTTCTATAGAAAGGAACAAATCCTTTCTTTGGAGAATTAATGAAGATTTGTTGGATAAAAAAGATGTAACTGAAATGTTAAAGGAAGAAACAAAGCAATTTTTCCAACAAAATCTGAATAAAGAGACCCCAATTCAGGTGGTGTGGGATGCGTATAAAGCAGTGATGAGAGGCATTCTCATCTCTCAAAATGCGAAGCAAAAGAAGGAAAAATTTCAAAAACAAACAGTAGTGTTGGAAAAAATATCACAAAAAGAAAAAGAATTAAAGAAGAAACCAGGGAAAAAGAAGATTATTCGAGAATTACAGTTGTTGAAAGAACAACTGAATGAAACTTTAAACCAGGAGCTCTATTGGAATTTAAAGAGGCTACAGCAAAAATCTTTTGAAGGGGCAAATAAACCGGGGAAATTTTTAGCGTGGCAACTTAAGGCTAGAAAAGAAAGAAGAATGATAACCAAAATAATAGAAGAAGGAAAAGAATTCGTTGACCCTACTGGCATAAAGAGAAGTTTCTTCAAGTATTATGCTAAATTATTCCAAGCAAATAGAACAGATCTTGAGAAGATTAAAAAATATTTGGACAAGGTTCCGTTACTTAAAATAAGCAACGAATTTCAGGAATTACTGAATGGCCAAATTCAAAAAGAAGAAGTGAGGAAGGCAATTGAAGAAGCGAAGTTGGGGAAGGCGCCAGGACCGGACGGATTTACCGCAAAGTTTTATAAAAAAATGAAAGAAGAAATTGTTCCGGTCATGGAAGCTTTATCCAACGATATACGTGAGAGTAAGAAGGTGCCAGACTCTTGGAAAGAAGCAATTATTTCATTAATACCAAAGGAAGGACAAGAACCAACGAATGTGAAAAACTATAGGCCAATTTCTCTTTTGAATAATGATTACAAGATTTTTGCAAAAATTATTGCAGAGAGGGTGAAAAACTATTTACAAACAGTGATTTCAGAAGACCAAGCTGGTTTTTTACCAAAGAGACAGATCAGAGACAATGTAAGAATAGTAATGGACGCAATTGAATATTATGAGAAACACCCTGAACAAGAAGTAGCTTTTTTATTTATCGATGCCGAAAAGGCATTTGACAATCTTAACTGGAAGTTTATGCTGCAAATGATGGAAAAAATAGAAGTGGGACAACACTTCAGAAATTGCATTGAAGCTATCTATTCTGAACAAAGAGCTAAACTGAATGTAAACAAAGAACTGACAGATAGCTTCAAGGTACAGAAAGGCACCAGACAGGGTTGTCCCCTATCACCGTTATTATTTATCTGGGTGTTGGAGATACTTCTACAAAAAATACAGCAAGATCAAGAGATAACGGGATTGACACACAAAGGACTTAAATACAAATATCGAGCATTTGCTGACGATGTAATGTTCATTGTGCAAAACCCGACAGACAAATTACCGTTACTATTCCAAAAAATAAAGGACTTTGGAGAATTGGCCGGATTTTATGTCAATAAGAACAAGACGAAGCTTATTTGCAAAAACATGACGAAACAAAAACAAATGGAACTGCAAGACCTGGTACAATGTGAAGTAGTAAAAAAGACTAAATATCTTGGTATTGAGTTAACTGCAAGAAATATAGACTTATATAAGAACAATTATGAAAAACTATGGACTAAGTTAACTCAAGACTTTAAGAAATGGGACAAAATGAATTTGTCACTGATGGGAAGAATATCAGTCATAAAAATGAATGTCCTACCACGTTTGATGTTCCTGTTCCAAACAATACCAATACTTAGTAAGACAGATTTGCTACTTAAGTGGCAACAAGAACTATCAAAGTTTGTTTGGGCAGGCAAGAAACCGCGAATCAAGATGAAAATTCTTTGTGATGCCAAAGATAGAGGTGGGTTACAATTACCAAATCTTAGACTATATTATGAAGCGGTCTGTCTAACCTGGATGGAACAATGGGTGAAATTAGAAAATGATAAGTTACTGGGGTTAGAAGGCCATGATTGTAGATTTGGTTGGCATGCATATTTATGGTATGACAAAACAAAAATGGATAGCTTTTTTAAGCTTCATGTGGTAAGAAAAGCACTATTTGTGGTATGGATGAGGTATAAAAAATACTTTTGTGATGTAAGACCATTGTGGATTGTACCAGTGGAAGTGTTAACATCTTACTCAAGACATAGAGATAAAGATTGGTTGCCATATAAAGATCTAATTAAAAAAGTGGGAACAGAATGGGTAATGAAAAAGCAGAATGAAATTGAATATGATTATGAATGGCTGAAATATATGCAGATTTTTGACCTTTTTAGATCAGACAAAAGAAACTATGGTTTTAGAGAGGAAAAAAATGAGATTGAAATGATTTGGGAGAGTGAAGGGGGAAAAAATATCTCTAAAATGTATAAAGTGTTACTAAAATGGTATACTGAAGATGAGACTGTAAAAGGGCAAATGATAAAATGGGCGATAAATATGAATACGGAAGTGGCTATTGAAACCTGGGAATATTTGTGGAAAAATTCTATTAAGATATCGCCTTGTACCAATGTTAGAGAGAATTGTTATAAAATGATGTATAGGTGGTACATGACTCCGAAAAAAATTGCAAATATGAACCAGAATATGTCAAATAAGTGTTGGAAATGTAAAAGCCATGAAGGCTCATTTTACCACATGTGGTGGACTTGTGAGAAAGCAGTTGACTTTTGGACAAAAGTCCACAATGAAATGCAAAAAATTTTGAAATGCTCTTTTAAAAAGGCACCGGAAATTCTGCTTTTAGGATTGAAAATGGAAGAAGTCAATACAACTAAAAAGACTTTATTCTGGTACTTAATCACAACAGCGAGAATGATTTATGCACAATTTTGGAAAACAGAGAAAGTACCAGAAATTGAGGACTGGATACAATATTTTATAAAAAAAAAAAAAAAAAGAAGAGGCAAAGAATTATGACCTTACTGAAGGTGAGAAGTTACAAAAAGAAGGAAAAAATTAAGCTTTATAAGTAAGACTGATCAGGATTTTTTTATTTATATGTAACTGAATAAGATGTAACATAAGATGTAACTGAGCAGGCCATGGCTGGGGGGGGCAGGGCATAATTATAATAAATAAACAAATAAATAAATAAGATGGGCTAGGGAATGCGCAGCCATATGTAACTGAGTAACATTGACTACCATTGAATGTTTTGTTTTATATTAATCCTTAAATAAGATTTCTGTTCAGGCTAGGGAACCCTTAGACATATGTAACTAAGTAATCACTGTATCTCATTGAATGTTTTGCTTTATACTAATAGTAGTAACAAGA